TTAGTTAACGTCAAAATTGTAGAATTCAAATAATATGAGATTATGTTAGTATGATAATATATGTCAGATATCAGGCAATGCTGCTGCTGCAAGTGGGGCTGTTAAAGCATAGTCAAACTAATTAAGTAAGAACAAACATAGCTCACTCAGAATTATCCACATTTCTCTCTCTACCAACATGCAACACCAATGTTTGCTTCAATTTGTCAAAACGTAGAAAAAGTTCTTTGAAATTCAAGACACACCTCTGCAGACTTGCTTGTTTAATTTCTTTATGCTATTTTAACTTAGTGTATACCTACTTCTGCATTGTAAAACCCTTTGTGAATTTTGTTCTTGTAAAGCGATATATAAATAAACATTACTTACTTACAAAAGTCAAGAGTAGATATTTGTGAGATCTTTGCACACAGTCTTAGAGCCAGAAATGTAAGTGAAGCATTACAGTTCGTCTGAGTGTAAGGAAAGTATACGAGCTGTGTCGGGAAACACATTACTGACATTTGTACATTTTTGTTTTGCCTGCCTCTGATCTCTGATGACTACCACATTGGATTTGATATAGAGCAATTAAGATAGGATTGAAATGAAGATGGTAGTATAAACATAATTTTAAATATAGATCCCATAGTTATCCCCAGATGTTGTGTTTTCTCCTTAGCGATGCTCTGTCAGACCTTTACTGTAGCTGGTCTTCAGTTTGTTTCTGGGTCACTTTGTTTTCAGTTTTTCTCTGTTGAGTTGAGACCAGGTGACTTACTTGGCCATTGAGAAATATTTTAATTTCCTTTCCTTGGGAAACTGTTAAGTTGCTTCTGCAATATTCTTTGAGATATTATCCTTATGTTCATTAAAGGGACAGTGTGAAACGTAATTTCAATTCCTTTGTATGGCAAGTACATTTGAAGAAATTGACAAATAAAAGTATTCTATTCTATTCTATTCTAAAGGTTTGTCAGATTAGTTATGCAGCATTTGATTTAATCAAGCAGAGAGTACAGCCACATAAACCTCACATTTCAATCTACTGCTTCTATCAGCAGTCACATCATGAATAAACACTAGTGACCTGGTTCCACTGGTAGCCATAATGCCGTCTCCACCATGTCTGACAGATAACGTGATGTGCTTTAGCTCGTTAGCTTTTCTCACCTTCGTTATATTTATGGTAAAATTACTCTGGTACAAGTTAACCTTTGTTTATCTGCTTGATGAAATCTGTTTTTTATCTTCTCTTCAACAGCGTGAACTAATACTGCATGACGTGTGGCCAATGTCCACAGTCAGGCTGTTTGAACATCAAGGAAATTCCGTCTACGTATTTGTACTCTTCAAGGGAGTGGCCATGGAAAAGGAAAATACTTCTAAAACAAGGTGTGTATTGTTTTTACTGTTTGGTTGGAAAATGCAGTGATTGATAAGCAACCAAAGGTCTATGTCACAGGTAACAACCCTCAAAACAAAGTAGTTCTATCAAAAAAGATTTTTGACTGGCCAAGTTAAAGACCTGACCTTTGTCTAAATAAACTAAAAGGACCTGAGGCAGGTAATAGGGCTGGGCCATATCATACCGTTCACGATAATACCGGTATAATGTTGGGCAACGATAAGAAAATGAAATATCGCAATAGAATATGGATAAAACGTGCATGCGCAGTGCCTTTGTTTTCATACGCACATGGTGGTGACGGAGAATGAGAGAGGCGGAAGTGGATCGTTGAATGAAACAGATGAACCAGAATTGGTTTGTTTTTCTGAAAATCGACAGTGCCCTTTATAATCCCGTGTGCCTTATGTGTGAACTCTGGTTGTGTTTACTGTCCTCGAAACGATTTTATGTCGTACACGGCGCTCGAAAATCTGTCAAATGTTTTAGTACGACTTTGCTAAGCTATGAACCCGCACCGCTTGATGGATTGTTGGAGCATTACGGCTATCGTAGGCAGGAGCCTCGCGGAGTGATACGTACGGTGCTTCAACATAATATTACCGTATTGTGTGTATAACCTTTTTTAAGTTTTGTAGATATTGTACATGGTTATGCTGAGGATATGTCGGCCAGTTTCCTCTGAAAATGCCTTTTGGTTCAACTGTCAGCAGGGAATTTGCACTGTTACATTTTTAGAATCAGAATCAGAATCAGAAAGGGTTTTATTGCCAAATGTTGAGCGGGTTTACAACATTAGGAAATTGCTGCGGTGCTTCAGTGCAAACATACTGTTATAAATTAAGCTTAAATAGACATGAAAATAAAAATGAGAATAAGAATTAAAAGTGCTAAGTAGATAGATAGATATATACATGATATATACATGAGTGCAGGTGGTGATCAGTGCCAAACATGGAATGATGCAGTGAACACAGCGTAGGGTCATGTGTTAGTGGTGGGAACAGTCATACCGTTATTGTTCATGTGTTCAACAGCAGAGGGGAAGAAACTGTTCTTATGGCGAGAGGTTCTGGTGCGAATGGACCGGAGCCTCCTGCCTGAGGAGAGCAGGTCAAACAGACTGTGTCCAGGGTGAGAATATATAACTTTTATATAACTTTAATGCACATAAAAAACAGCTGCTTGCTTAAGTGAAATACATTGATGTTTTTTTTGTTTGCACTAATAAAATTGTGGAGTTGTAAAGTATTTTATCCTGTGTCAATTATATCATCAGTTATATCGTTATTACAAATTTTCAAATGTGTATCGTGATAAATATTTTTAGTCATATCGCCCAGCAGGTGATACGACTAAGCACTTCTAGCAGGTAATTCAGGAAACACACCATCATTGCATAGATTATTAAGTTCTGAAAAGTAGAAATTAGAAAATAACCACGATTGAAATGAGTCAGAAATCAAGGTTATCAGAGATCACAAAATAAACATGGGTTTTATTTTATTAAGGTCAAACTACCAACAACTAGAACTCAAAACAATCTCCAACGTGAAGACGCATTCCTTCCTCGGAAAACTAAAAGGGAAGAATCTAGCTACTAACACCACATCGGTGCACACCATTTGCAAAACACATTAACTGGACACCCTCCCGACACAAAAATCCTGCAGAGGAAGAGAACAGAGTTAACCACATACAGGAAGCACCACTGCTGTAGCATAAGTTTGTTTATTTAATTAGCTTGTTTTTTTCCTCTGCCTAATTATGGCCCCCTTCACTTGCATCCCGTTGGACCTCATATTAAGTTATCCAGTTAAAAACTATAAAATAAAGGTTAAAACCTGCAATGGACTCCAGGTGTGTGTGTTTTTCTTTATGGAATAACAAAGGAACAGACCTCTCCTGGCCAGGAAAATGCTTGTCAGTCAAATGCCCAAATACCTTTGGAAAATGTGTAGAAAAACAGCTGTAACTACTCAGTTATCACATTACTTTTTTACACCCTTTGATTTAAACCTCAAAGTCTGTACTTTAGTCTGATTGATCCGCTGATGTCATGTACAGGGTAACCAGGGTAATCTTTACTCCATTGCAATTCTTATGATGCACTGCACACCACAAGGGTATAACATATGTGATGTGATGGAGCTGGGATTGCAAGTTTGATTCCCACCTGGTATCCAGTAAGGATCCTGGCTAGACTCCCCATGGTAAAAACAAGCCCTGGAATGGCACGGCTACGTCTGCAGCCTGTCTGCAGTTCAGGACACAAGCATTTCACTACATGTTCACTAAATGTTGTACTGTGTATGTGACAAATAAAATTTGTATTAAATTATATTTGTACTGTATTAATGTGACGTTGACAGTATTCAATTGTTTACAAAATTTACATTTCTGTTCCTTCACTCGGAACATTCTGTCGGATTCACTACAGATAAATCTGCACCCACCTGACCCCAAAAAACCCAGGGAAGCATATGACCAGTTTCATGTGCAGAAACTCAACCAGCACGACCAGTTTTGCATATTAAAGGGATGACGAAAAAATAACTTCACGCCACTGACCCTGATTAATGCCAACCATATATCCTGACTGACGTGTAAAAGGTCCACCCTCATTCTTTCTCGGAAATTCTGAAGTGGAAGTTAAGTAGCAACAATGAAGATTTGATCTGCAATTGCAAAAACCTTGAAGCACCGAATAAAACTTAAGTGAACACAGATATCAGAACTTTAGTGTCTGTGTACTTAAACACAATAAGGGAAAAGGAAACAGTGTATTTCGAAGAGCTGTGTTCATAATAAAGTTAAAAAAAATTGACCAAGTCAGATTATTTATTAGTTAATAGTAAGAAAGTGCACGACAGAAGTGTTGCTGGATTTTAGTAGACATCCAAAAATTATTTTACAGTCAATACACTACACAATAAACAGAATAACATAAAAATCATATCCACAAGAAGCAACTACCCTGCTGAAAGAAAAATGAAAGGAACACTTTGAAAGCACACAGATCATATAGGCGATGGTGTCCTGATGGATCTCCTCCCAGATCTGGACCTTGATCTTAAGTCAAATCTTTTAAGTGGCCTTCTTCTCAGGAGGACACTTAAAACCCACTTTAGACAATGGAACATATTACGTTTACACAAATGGCCAAGAGGAACAAACCGAGCTTTGTGCCTTTGAGGCAGATCAATTTTCTTTCACTTTAAAAGTTTCAGAATTGGTTTAAACAGTCAGTAACAATATTTTGATATTTGAAAAAAAAAAGCCCAACCAGTTCAGTCCAAGTATGTATAAACCAGAATGGCTCTGTGACCTGTTCAATCATTCTTTCTTTCTTGTACATTTTCAGAGTTAATAAAAATATTTGGTAATTAGTCTCATTGCTGTTCGATGGTAATATACACATTAAAGATTGAAGTAGATCCCCCGTTTTTACCTCAATATCCATGTAGGTTGCATGCATTGTCAAGGAAGTGGTGAATTTAGAAACAAAACTCTCTAAAACAAAGAGGTGTAAAGACAAAATTCAGGTTTGTTTCAACGCGACACACCCTTATTCCTCGCCCCACCCTGATCACTAGAGTGATGGCAGAGTTTCACATGTAATGCTCTTGTAATGCTTGCAATTTTCTCCCCTCCCCTCTGCTTATTTAACAGTGACAGAAAGTGAACAGGTGTCACTTGTTCATCTGGAAGCCACTGGATACATCAGAAGCGGTCCACCTCCAAGCCCTACCTGAGACTGAAACTACGTAGGCAAAATCTGAGGAACGATATATCTTTAATTCAATTTCTTTCACTATTTGCACTGGAAATAGGAAAACTTACAGGTAGGTAAAAACAATACATATGCAACATCATATCAGTTTTTAAATGAGTTTTTTTTTTGTTCAATATCTGTTTAAGTTTGACATTCACTATCTAATAGTGTTTTGTGAAGAGTAGTAATTTATAATTGTAACAATGAATAAATTAGGATTGCAATTAGTTTTCAATAGTATTTCATTATATATATGAAATACTATATATATATATATATATATATATATATATATATCCTAAATAACTTTTTTGGAGTCTGGAGTACCTTTGTTGTAAACTGAAAGACTGTTAGGCCTACTTTCCAATTACAGTATATTAGTCATTTAAAAACATGAACAAATTTATTACTTTCATTACTTTATTACTTTTTATTAATCTTAATGTTTCATTGCATTTATGGCACTCTTATGTCAGTTGCCAGTTTGGTTTGATTGTTTTTCTTGTTTATTTGAGCAACTTTTCGTGTGATATTTGGTGGTGGGATTTATTAGCGTTTTATTTTGTGGTTTAATGTTTCACTTTTTTGTTATTTAACTCCATACTTATATCATCTATAAAAACAAATTATGTGTTATCTTGCTGCACTTAATTCTAGAGCCTGTACTGTAAGTGCTACTGATTATTTTGTAAAAGTCCTCACCGTTGTTATATAAGCCAGTATTCCCTATGTTATGTTTGAATGGTATACACAGATGATGAGGTTGATTTTTAATTCCAAACCAAACAACTCACCTTCTGCTTGTTTAGCTTTGATGTGTACACTTATGCTTGCACTGGCCTCAGTGCTAAAGATATTGTAAAATGTGAGGCAGAGTGCACTCTGGTGGACAAATATATGATGAAAAAACCACAGAGTGAGAGAGAGAGAGAGAGAGAGAGAGAGAGAGAGAGAGAGAGAGAGAGAGAGAGAGAGAGAGAGAGAGAGAGAGAAGCTGTAGTTACAGTGCTGTAATAAACTTCACTTCACTTACAGTTAATAGTTAGAGTTTACTCAATCTCTGTTATTCCCTCTGTTTTAGGCATGGACAGCAGACTAGTCCTCACTCTCCTGTTTGTGATGCTGACTGGGTGTTTCATGGGCACTTATGCTCAAAGTGCAACAACATCCAGCAACAACACCACTTCCAACACCAGCACCCCAATACCATCTAGCAACAACACCACTTCCAACACCAGCACCCCAATACCATCCAGCAACAACACCACTTCCAACACCAGCACCCCAATACCATCCAGCAACAACACCACTTCCAACACCAGCACCCCAATACCATCCAGCAACAACACCACTTCCAACACACAACTCAACCAGCCACACAACACCACTTCCAACACCAGCACCCCAATACCATCCAGCAACAACACCACTTCCAACACCAGCTCCACAACACCATCCAGCAACAACACCACTTCCAACACCAGCTCCACAACACCATCCAGCAACAACACCACTTCCAACACCAGCACCACAACACCATCCAGCAACAACACCACTTCCAACACGAGCACCACAACACCATCCAGCAACAACACCACTTCCAACACGACTGCAGCTCCAACACCTGCCCCACTAGTGCCTGACAGCAATGTGACAACTGTTAATGTGAGTAATGTAGAAAAAATTAAAAATATATAAAAAAATATATATTTTAAAAATAAATTAAAATATTTGTTAGTTACTATAGCAGAAGACTGACAAAAACAAGTTGCAGTTGCATTGATCAGTACCTATTAATGTATACAACTAAACCACTCTCTAACATGGATCTTATTTATCCTTGCAGACCTCTTTTACTAGAGATAATTGTAGCAAGACACAGCTGTGCGTTTCTCAGCCCTCTGGCTGCGACCCCTCCAGTGGGACATGTTTCTTCCTTGGTAGCCAAGCGCTGGGAGGTCAGAATTTTAAGTTTTCACTTTCAGGACAATCAGACGGCTACGCTGCTCTCACCCTGTCACGGAACACCACACAGGTATGTCAAATTTAATCCTTTTAGCACAGATGAAAATACAGTAAAGTTTAACAATGAGACAGTCTAGTATTTTGTTAGTCGTCATCTTTATAGAGAGGTAACATTTACAATTTCTGGTTCTTCACCACAGGGAGTCAATGACACAACCTACATCTGTGCAAATGACAACAATGTAGTCAAATACATAAGTGCTCTTCTCAACAATGGCAAGCTGAATCCCACAACGGTGAGTTCTACTAGCAGACTTTTGAAAAACAGTTTAGTAATACTTTTTTTAGGGTTGGAGTGTGTGACAAATGCTCATTCTGCCTATCACTACTTATGCCCTTGTGTTGCCTTCACTTACATTGAAGTTTAATAATGAAGAAATTATTATCCTAATAAAAACTAAGCTCTTCTCTTTGTGATCTGTTTTCTTCCACAGCTTCAAGTCAACAATGTGAAGGGCAGAATCAATGGAAAGAACATCCAGTGTCAATTTGATGCCACAGTACCAGTCTCTACTAGAGCCCAAACTAAAGCAGCCGCAGACAGTACAAGTTTCTCAATGTCAGTCTCCACTGGAACTTATAATGCCAGTAAGCTAACACATCAACATCACATCAATTGCACCTTTAACAGACCTCTTTTAATGATGGTTACACAGACCATCACTGACAATATATCAATATGTTGTTATGTACTTTAAACACATCAGTGATCTCTTTTTCTCTGCTTGTTCTTTCAGCTTCAGGGGATCTGGGTAGCCCTACTTTCCAAATAACAACTAATGTGGTAAACCTGAGTGATGTTAATGCCACCGTCACCAATTTGGTTAGTTCCAACTCCACCAACACCACCACCACCACCACCAAACCCACCACCACCTCTGCTGCTAATGCAATTACAATCCAGCAATCAATGATGCAAGGTAAAAGTACCAGATAAGTTTTCGTCTTTCTTTTGGTTTAATACTTACCTGAGAAAAGAATATGTGCTTCAAACATGAAACACGTAGAGTACTTAATACTTGTTCTTCTGTTCTTCCTTCCTCGCCTCTAGCTTTGCTGATCACTGTGGGCATCCTGACTCTGAGCTGGCTATAAGGAAACTGAAACCTGCCCTACATAACAGATTAAAACTTCCCTATCCAACCATGCTACTATTTTTAAACTCACAGGTTTACTATCAACAGTATGTCCCAGACTCCTATGATTAATTTTGTGGGAAAAGGTCACATTACAAATCAGGACTGGTGGAGGGCAATCACTTTCGAGAAGCTTTTTTTATACTGCTTTTACATGCAGTTAGAGATTTGGTTGGAATCATTTGCAGAACTCTTTAAAACGGTGTGGTAAGATGGGGCACAACTGCATTATTAAGAGTAACCGAACACATAGTTTGAATTAAGTGAACAAGAATCACGGCTTTTACCAGTGTGTGCAATTTATGCAAATTTTGGGTAAAGGGTCTGGTACCCTTTAAAGCCCACATTTTTATTGCTAAGCAAAAACATTCGGTAAGTTTATGGTTACTTTGATTATTAAACTGCTAAACCGTGTAAACAGAAACTGCTGGTAAACCATTGTTTGCCTTTGTCTACCCTTAGAACACCAAAAGCAAAATTCATTTGCTGATGATGACAATGATGCCAGCAAATGGCAGAGGTGGATTTGAAAACAATTATGTTCTGATAGTATATTTCTATTATATGTTGTTTATATGAATGCTGTTTGTTCAGCAGTACCTTTACAATGATGCCTTCAGTGGCTGATGTTCACATGTGTTGCTTGCTTTTTAGCAGGTGTTCACAAATAATGCTATATGTGGTACTACTGAAGATGCTCGTGTAATGATTTTGTATTACATGTTTATAATTAAATATTTATCAAAAAAATATTTTGTGTGTTTTCTGATGGATGTTGCTAGATTTGAATTGGAACTTTTAACGTTTAGTCAATTTTGGGTGTTCTCAAATCAAATTACTTAAAACTACAATATTTTCACTACATGCACTTTTCATGCGGTGCAGTTGTGTCTTGCCATATATTAAAGAGTCAGCCAGATAAGTCACTGCCCAGAGCTTGTGACCATAAGGATACGAATGCTGATCAATATGAAGTGACACGTTCACTATCAAGCTCAGATCTCTCTCCACCCAAACAGAGCAGCACAGCAGCCACATCAGTGTCAGGAGCCTGAGATCCTCAACATATCCTAGAAACTTGCTCCCAAACCGGAGCAGGTGAAAACCATGACATTGAACTTGAGGATGTTAATTCTTATCCCAACACTCACCCAGGAAAACCCCCAGTGCGAGTTAGAGATCACGGTTTGATGAAGCCGGGAGAAAAGCATCATCTGGAAAGTGCAGAAATGAGATCCTGAGACCACCACCTTGAATGCAACTAAAAATTCTGTCCATAAATATAATGAACAAAATCTGTGACAAAGGGCAGCTTTGTAGTCCAACAGCAAACAAGTGCATACAAACATGTATGACATGTCAACTGATCCAACATCTCTATATTTTGATTACTTTCAGCTTGGGAAGATCCTCATCCAGATGATTATTACAGCAGTGGAGTCATTCTTCTTCAGCGTGACCTAAAGAGCGTTCATTTCCACCTTGAATCCTATGTGTGTTTTTTTTAAATTTAAGACCGTCAAACATTTACTAAATAAATAATTCCATTTATTAAAACTGGGTGGAACTGGATGCTTTTGACTGGTGTTCACTGCAACCACAAAACATTTGTAAAGCACTAATGAAAGTACACACATAAAAATGATGTGACATCACCAGGAGCAAATTTACTAGAAAATGAAAAGAATAGCAAAAAAAACACAAAACCAAACCCTGTGCGAGACCTGTGGCGTCTGTTCAGGTGTTACACATGTCAGTGTGGAATTTTAAATTGCTGTGGGCAATATTGCTCAAGCACATTTCTTGTTACTGAGTATATTTAGAGTCCATAATGAGCTGTTTGACCAAGAGTTTTGGACACAAAGAAAAACTTGGTGTGTGGAACATAAATGTGTAATGAGAAAAGGGGAACGAAACAGAGAAAAGTCTATAACAACGATGTGGACAAAACATAAGAAAACTCATGAAAACTTCAGAAGCAAGATTTGTTTAGAAGAAGCAAATGTAATATGTGGGTGTGTTGTCCTTCATGCAAACAACACTGAATAAAAATTTACATGTTTGTTTGCACCAGAATAAATGAGGTAGAAAGGTTTGTGATTTGTTATGCTCTGAAGAAAACCACAGTGGCAGTAAAGTGACAATAGCTGGGATTATTTTCCAAAGCCATGAGTGGGAGAAGTTATATTTGCATCTCCATTGGTAAGTCAATTTACAGTATCTTCAGTTACACTTGATTTAATTCATTTTAAACCTTGGAAAAAACCCTCAAAATCATTATCATATACAAAAATGATGATAATACTTTGAGTAGTAGCATAGTGCTCTTTTACTTAAATCTTGGTCTACGCAAAGTCTTGAGGCAACATTTTGGACAGAGGTGATATAAAAATATATACAAGTCTTAAAAACAACAGTGAGATACTTGAGAACTTGTCAGATCTGGAATAATAGCTATTCAAGCGAGGATTAATCGGAATTATCAATCAGTGTAGCTTCAGGTGTCTTTCAAACACATTTAGACTTAACATCTTATCTCTCAGATCTGCTTTTACCATACGAACCCTCGCGGACCCTGAGGTCCTCTGGTACTGGCCTTTTGATTGTCCCTAAAGTCAGGACACATACTCACGGAGAGGCAGCTTTTCAGTGGTATGGTCCTCGTCTGTGGAACAGCCTGCCGGAGGAGCTCAGGGCCGCAGAGAACGTACATGTTTTTAAGAACAGGCTCAAGACCCACCTTTTTAATTTAGCTTTTACTTAGCGTTTATTTATTTTATGCTTATTTATTCTATCCTGTTATTCTATTATTAATTTAGGATTTACCTAATATTTGCTTGATTTTATTCTTATTCATTTTTTAATCTTCTTATTCTATTTATATTTATATTGTATCCTGTTCTTATTTATTTTATCATTTTACCCTATATATATCGTATTGCATCATATCTCCAGTGTTTCCTCGGAGGGCGCTCTCTGCACCGGGGCTGTGATTGACCGTGGCTGCTGGGTCTCTGGGGTCCTCTCAGCCTGGCTTGGGGGGCTCCTTTGCCTCCCTCCTGCTGTGTGCCCAGCCTGGAGGCTGCGGTCTGTGACCGGCTCCCGGTGCAGACGGCTCCCTGTTATAATGTTTCCTCACTTGGCTCATGCGAGTCCAGCCCAATTTTTACTCTTTAAGTGTGCGCGTGTGTGTATGTGTGTGTGGGTGGGGGTGGGGGGATATATGTGTATTGAGAGTGTGGGGAGTGAGTTGGAGGGTGGGGTGGGCTGCTTTTAACTATGTAAAGCACTTTGTGCTACATTTTCTTTGTATGAAAAGTGCTTTATAAATAAAGATTGATTGATTGATTGATTGATTGATTGATTTTGATTGATTGATTGATTAGTTTTTATATCCTCGTTAATTTAATTAAGTTTTCATTGCTTGTTACATCAACAGTCACTCAGCAGAGATGTTGTTGAGTATGCTGTTCCCTTTAAAATTCCCATTTTTACACAATTTCAAACACTACAGTTAAAAATGAATATGATATAAATTATACTTTACATTTTTTAAGTCAAACTCTTTACATTAACAGTGATTTCCTTCATGATGATATCTAGAGCGCTGACAGGTAAACTTTTTCCTCACTTCCCTCAAAACAATCTTTAAAAAAATAGAGAATAATTGATAATACTAACAATTTTTTTTTTATATTAAGGTTATCTTTTCCATAACCTGGCACTGAACCAAAAGGCTAGCCAGTCCTCGGTTGGTGACAGCGTGGGTATTGCTGGCAAAGCAGTTGATGGGAGAAGAGAATCAAGATATCAGTTAGGGTCCTGTACACTCACCAAGTCAGAATCTGATCCCTGGTGGAGGGTAGACCTGGTAAATGTGTATACAATTGGTGCTGTAATAATAACCAGTAGAGCAGAACTGGAAAACGGACTGGATGGTGCTGAAATCTGGATTGGAAAGTCCGCAGCGATCAATGACATTGAAAGCATGAGGTGAAACAGCTTGATGCAGACAGATAAAATACATGAGCAATCATTATTTCAGTAGCATATCGTCCCTTCTTATTTTTTTCTTCTTTTTGGCTTTCTCATACACAGATGTGCCGTCATCTCTCATATTCCCAGTGGACAGACATACTACTTTCCATGTAGCTCCATGGAGGGACGCTACGTCACTGTGTTTCTACCAGGAAGTGAAAATGTCCTTAGCATCTGCGAGGTTGAAGTTTACTATGGTAATCACATTTCAGCCTGATGCCGATACACAAGTCTGAGGCCTTGATTGTTCAAGTTGTTGTTAATTTTCCAAATGGCCCACCTCCCAACACAAATTAATCATTCTTGTTGTTTTGTATAGTTAAAGGTCTTTGAGCCAGAATGACAGCCAAGTGTGGTCTTCAAAATTACTGCACTCTGCGCCTTCTGCAACAAATAATTAACTATTCACAATGATCTAATGTCTCTTTGTGGTTTTCCTTCAAGGATACCCATTACCCAATGTGGCACTCAAAGGAGAAGCTACCCAGTCATCTACACTCTCTGTTGCCACTGCTTCCAAAGCCATCGATGGCAGACGGAACTCGTTCTATAGCAATGGGTTCTGTAGCCACACGGCTGAAGACGAGACCAACCCCTGGTGGAGGGTGGACCTGCAGCGAAGCTTTACAATCACTGCTGTAAAAGTCACCAACAGAGGAGACTGCTGTGCTGAAAGACTGGATGGAGCTGAGATCAGAATAGGAAACTCACTGGAGAACAATGGAAACAATAATCCCAGGTAATTACAAGTGTTTCAATGTGTTAGGGAAAATGTTCTAAAACACTTCTTCAGTAAAGACTCAGAGAAGAGAAACACACAGAACTTCTTGCTAGCAAGGGCAGTCTCAGTGACTCGCGCTGAGAAACTGCCCCGGTCTTTATTTATACTTCAGTGAGCGTTTGTTCTTTACATTGGAATGTGGAGGTGTGTGTGTGTGTGTGTGTGTGTGT